CAGGCAGGGCTCCGGGCGCGGGGCGGGCTGGCGTCTCCGTGCTCCCGACTGCCGGGAGCCAGGGCCAGAGTCCCGTGAACAGACGGGTGGGGCCCCCAGTCCTCCAGCTCCCAGGCCCGCCCCTCATCTGATCATCTTGGCTCCGCCCTGCACACCATTTACGCTTCTGGCATCCGCCTGTCACCATCCAACCGTCTGGGTTCTGCCTGTTCACCATCGAGCCGTGACCTTGAGGTTCCTGCTCCCACATAAGGACCCCAGTGCCCAGTGCCCCACCCGGTGCCTTGAGGTAGGGGGACGGTTCCCAGAGGGCCCCTCACAGCAAGGCCCCCTGACAGGGCTGAGCACCAGACAGACTTCCCTGACGGCCGGCCACAGCCTGACGCCCCAACATCCCACGCTGCACTCCTGGTAAGCGTGTCTCTCTGGAGTGAGCGCGCATGCCCGGGTTTGCAAAGGAACAGGGAAGAATTAACCTCATAAAAGCATGCCCAGCAGCCGGGCTCCGTGGCTCAGCCTGTCATCCTGCGCCATTGGGAGGCTGAAGTGATTGCCGGAGCCCGCGGGCTCGAGACCCGCCTGGGCAACTTGGCAAGACCTCATCTCTACAATAAAAAATAAAAAAAATTAGCCAGGCATGGTAGCACGCGCCTGTAGTTCCAGCTACCTGGAAGGCAGAGGGGAAAGGATCACCTGAGCCCAGCAGGTAGAGGCTGCGGTGGCCGGGAGCGGCCACTGCACTCCAGTCTGGGCAACTGAGTGAGACTCCAATTCAAAAACAAACAAACAAAAACATGCCCACCCTTGGCCGGGCTCGGTGGCTCCGCCAGTCATCCCAGCACTTTGGGAGGCTGAGGCGAGTGGATTGCCTGAGCCCGTGGGTTCAAGACCAGCCCGGGCAATTTGGCAAGACCTTATCTCTACAATAAATTGAAAATTAAGCCAGGCTCGGTGGCTCAGCCTGTAATCCCAGCACTTTGGGAGGGCTGAGGCGAAAGGACTGCCTGAGCCCACGGGTTCGAGACCTGCCCGAGCAACTTGGCAAGACCTCGGCTCTACAATAAATAAAAAACTAGCCGGGCGTGGTAGCGCACGCCTGTAGTTCCAGCTCCTTGGAAGGCTGAGGCGGAAGGATCGCCGGAGCCCAGCAGGTCGAGCCTGCAATGGCCCAGAGTGGCCACTGCACTCCAGTCTGGGCGACTGAGTGAGACTCCAACTCAAATAAATAAATAAATAAAATTTTAAGAAATAGCGGTCATAGTGGTGGACACCTGTAGTCCTAGCAAACTTGGGAGGCTGGGGTGGGAGGATTGCCTAAGCCCAGGCGGTCAAGGCTGCAATGAGCAGGGATTATGCCGCGGCTCTCCAGCCTGGGCAACAGAGTGAGCACCTGATTCAAAAAAAGACAAATTGATGCCGGGCTTGGTGGCTCAGCCTGTAAGCCCGCGCCTTTGGGAGGCTGAAGTGAGTGGATGGCCTGAGCCCGCGGGTTCGAGACCCGCCTGGGCAGTGAGAC